TTTGGAGGGAATAAATCTCTTAGAAGGTAAACTGAGATGCAAACGCCAAGTCCTGGATATTGTAGTAAAAACTAATAAGTAAACATTTGATTCTTATAGTACCAGACCTACATACTGTAATTTATGTATGTTACCAAAATAGGGGGAAAAAAGAGAAAGGTGTCTTGAGTTCTTTGATTACTTTTTCAGCTGGGTGAAGCCATGAAAGGTACTTCCCATGGGAACAATTTGGACATGCAATGCATCTGATCATCCTTTCTGAGCAGTACACTTTCAAAGCTTAACTATTTTTATTGTTACTGCACTACTGCGACTATCACACAGGAAAACCCTCAGCCTTTGAAGCTACCCTATTTTGCAGAACTTAAAATCTTGGGTTGCAGTTTCACACAGCCAAATTGCCCTCGAGTGTCTGACACTGGCTTCCCGAGAGTTTTGATGAGTCTTGTGTGACTTTCTTGTATGTATTGTCTGTTTCAAATCCCTGCAAACAGTTTAATGATATTCAAAACTGAGCTGTAACGATTTTTTTCTTTTTGAGACGTTTTTGGTGGACGTCTTACGCTTTACTGTAGCTGTTAATTTCCCATCTTGAAGAAGTTGGATTTGTTCTATCCCAAACACAGCAGTTACTGTGGCCACATTCTCTATTAAATGTTTTTTTTTATTCTTTAATACACTCTCAACAGACTGTCACACTCAAAATCTGGTCAAAAATGTTGAGTCTGCTGTAAGAGCTACCTGCAGAACTTGTGATGAAAGTAGGTGGAATCATGAGACTTCCAATCAGTTCAAATACTTACAAATGTATAGTTGATTTATACCACTTAACAAAATCCTTTTTTTTCTAACAGGTATTTACAACTTTAGACATTTCTATAGCTGAGTGTGGCCAGCCTGGGTTCGAGTCCGACCCACGGCCCTTTGCCACATGTCTCCCTCTCTCTCGCTCTGCTTTCCTGCCATTTCTTGACTGTATCTGTCAATAAAAAACTTAAAAAGGCAAAGAAAAGCAAAATGTGTTTAATTGTGTTTAATTATTATTTAATGTTTAAAAGAGGATTCAGTACTTCAAATTTGTTGAAGTCAACACTTTCTCATTCCTACATAAGCACAACACACCAAACAAAGAGCAGTGAATGCTTCCACTCTCAGTGGAGATTTCATTTAATAATTGTATTCTTTTATAATTATTACAATAATTAATAATTTAAACTTTTACTACAGACAGAAAAAAAAAAGAACACACAAGAATCTCACTCCTCCTTTTATTTGAGTCTGATGTGTGACTCATATCTAGTTCACGGAAAGTTATCCCAGCATGAACAAAACAGCATTTTATACATGATCAGTGCACAAACAGCCAGAACAGGAAAAAGAGCAAAAACAATGGAGAGTATAAGTTAAACATTATTGGCTCTGTGAAAGAGCTGACGCACATAAGTAGATTAAAGGTTCGCAGAGTGCATGGAGTGCATCTTTCCTCTGTCAGCTGCTGCTGTATGTGTGAATTAAAACAAAAATAACCTGAACAACATTTTCATAGTAATAGTTCAGTATTTTAAAAAGCTCATTTAGAAAGCATCAACCCTCAGAAAACACAGAAAGGTATTACAATTACAAGATGTCATCCATTCAGTTATAGCAGATTCACAGCAGAGTCAGAAATCACATACACTGTAACTGTGCCGAAAAAGAAGTTACAGTGCTGTGAAACTGAAAGAGACTACTGCACTTATTCCATTACGTTTGGGTTTGAAAGTAGAGGAGTTTGCGGAGGAAGTTAAAGGAACCGGGCATTTGTTTGTAGAGCCCTTTTGCAGAGTTTTGGGAGACTTCGTTGTTAACCTAAAACAAGAAGAGTCAATAATCAGACATCACTGTGTCTAAAGCCAAAATCTCTTAAAGTCCTCAGTTATTTTTTCTGATATATTAAAAGAAGCTCACCATCATCAACATTGTGACTAAGTCATCAGTGGCAGCGTTTTCCTCAAGTATACAGTCCAGTGTCTGGACGTACCACGAGCCCGACTGGGTCTCTCGCCAGGAAACATAACCTGTATTGGTCACATGGCCAAAAAGGCATTAAGGACACATAGATCTGAAAGGCTGTTTTTGTTTGAAAGAAAAAACACGCACCTGGGAAAGTAGAGTAGGACACCAGGATGTCACTCGGAGTGGGCAGGGTGGGTCTGGCGTCCGGTTCATCGGACATGCTCAGGGAGTCGCTGCTGGATGACATTGGAATAGCATCCGTCTGGTCATCCATTCCACCAGAGGATGGTTCGACCTCATCGGGGGACACCTCGAAGCCCATGTCTCTCTCATCTTGGGGACAAACACAAGCTCATTTTTACACCTCACTTGTTCCTATTAATTTTTAAACCGTGCGTTCTGTGACAGCTACCTCCTCCACAGGCCTGGATGAAGAACAGTTTAGGTTTGCCTTGCAAAGACGGGCAATGCTGGCCATTGAGGTAGTTTGTGATGTGCTGCACTGGTACGTACTGTCCGTCCACACCGTACACGGCACCAGGAAAGCGGTTGTGATTCACCTAAGGACAGAAATATTAGCAAAAATCGTCTTAAATGTCAGTCCAGTCAGATGTAGATCACAGAAAATTGCCTTGCCGGAATAATGGCATTTGCCAGTTAAATATTAAAATATTAACTGTAAAAAATATTAAATCCTGTGTATTTCCAGAGTATTCTAGCTGATTATTCTGAAGGGATGCAATGTTTTTTTTAATGAACTGTAAACAACATCAGAATCAGCTCAGCATGTCTTACCTCAGTGCCATGGGACAACATGATGACCACACAGCAGTCATACTGGGAATGATCCTTCTTGGATAAAGTCAACAGCTCATGTTTGATTTGCTGGAATGTGGAATTAACCGTTAGGTCCGCAATCTTTAATACCCTTCAACACACACAGAGGCAGAAGACCCGATTCTTACTTTTTGTCTCAGGTTCGTCCTCACTTCCACGACAAAGTTGAGTGTCTTGAATCGTCTCTCCAGCTTTTCACAGTCTATGTTGGAGCCCTTGCGATTTTTCAGCATGCTGTGAGGTTCAAACTCCATGTTGTTTATGATGAGACAGTGACCACACGGGCTCGCAT